CACCATCAGTGGACCAAACATATGGTAGTTACATGGTAACAAGTCCGGACTGTACGGTGGCTGTTCAAAAGTTGCCAATGTAATTTAGTCAACTTATCATGAGTTGCAACTGCTGTATGCGATCGTGTATTATTGTACAGAAGGAGGACACCGCGAATTGGTTGCTGGCGTCGTTTGATGCTATAAGCGGTCTTGGCCTCATCCAGTAATAAGCAATAAGTCGTAGTCACTGTCCGTTGATCATGTAGGAAATCTACCAATAGTACCTTTTAAGTTCCAGAATCCTGTAGTATCCCCTTCTTTTTCAAAACGATTCAGAAGTCACTGACAGATGACTTTCCCCACATTTCTTTGTGCTTCGCTGAGAAGACGGGGAACCCAACTTACCGACACCTTTCTGTATCCCAGAATATTCGATGGAATGGTATGAACACTTCCAACACTTATACCTACTTCTGATGCAGTCTTGACAACAGTAATGTTTTGATCGCCTTCCCAAAGCACACGCACGACCTGAAGATTGACACTTCTCGCCAGGCGCCGTTTATAGCTTTGATTTTCCACTTGATCACGACCGTTTCGAAACCTTTTGGCACAATCGAACAGTTGGGTTTTACCCAAAGTAGCATCACTGAAGTGTACTTGAAGTCTCTTTAAAATTTCATTGGATTTTACACCTTCCTTGGTGAGAAAACGGATGATTCCACATTGTTCAACAGATGCAGATACTTGTCGTTTACTCATGGTTATTTCTCTATGGTGGACGCTGCACTGGTCACGTCATTATATGAGTTAAATGAACTAAATTCCGGTTTATACTTGAATGACCCTCGTACAATGCAGTTTTTTTATTTTCCATCAGAATTATGACTATTGAATTATTAACGGTATATAATGTTCACCATGTACCTACACTAATACGTCTGAATCGCTAGTTTAACGTAAGAACTACAAAAGGTTGCAGAAGCGACTAAATAATCGTGATTTCTGAAATATTTAATTATTGTGGATATTAACAAGTAACTGGCATAAAGTGATGTTACGTATAGTGTATGGAAGCAGGGTTTTCATTTTATTTTATGGAAAAGTTCTGGTTAACCAATTACACCCTGGATAGAGAAGAGGGATTAGAATGAATAGGAGAACAGAGGACTTTATGGAAGTCAACAAGAAATAGGCCAGATAGGTTGGTAGGATACTTTTTCAGGCATGAAGGATTACTCAGAGACATATTAGAAGCAGAAACAGGAGTTGAGGTAGATCCACAAATTTAAGGAAATGTGAAGATTAGCTCAGGATAGGAAAGAGTGGAGGTGCGTGTCCAACCAGTCTTAGGACTGACGAGCTTATGATGATGATGAAAGAAACTTGTATAAGCGAAAAGCCACAAAAATGTATATCCATTGTCAGTGTTTTTTATGTACTTCCAAGTTGTAAAACAAATTGCGCGAGAATTTCTATTTATATCTACACACAATACTAATAGAATTGTATGCAAGCATGTTCACATACATATATACATATACGTATGTATATACATTACACAAGTGGCCCTTTTGGCCCTGTTTCTGTCACGGTGTCATGATAAAGGAAGCGTAATAGTGTGAAGTGTCGTTGGGAATAGCGGCCGCAAGAACAACGGCCATCTAGATTATGGATGCTAATAGAATGACCACTGACCGCGACTGGATCCAGTCCATTCCTTTAAACCCCATCGGGGGTTTGGTTGGGGTAAGCGCGCCTTACCCCGACAAGCCGGAAACAAAAACGGTCCCGAACAGTTTCCTTTTTGCTCTCTCGGCACGCTACTTACATTGCTGCTGTACAGATCGGACCTTTGATAACGAGAATAATTGAGAGAGAGCGAAATATACATTTTCACGTACGTATACATATATACAGGGAAGGATAGATAGAGATGGGAATGTGGCGGATTCGAACATCGAATTTGTTCGTGAAATTGATAAAAGTTACCAGGAATAACGAACGCCAAGGGGAGATAAGGGTGTTCAACTTTTTCGTACAAACTGGAGTTGCGATTTCACTTCTCAAGTTAATAAAATGTAATTTATGATCATATAACGATAGTGGAATTCGTGACGATTCTGTATATTAAACCAGTCCAGTCCATTCTTTGAATATTAACAATTATATCACTTATAAATTCTGAATAATTGTATTTATTGGTTAAAGAAACATTTAAGACAAATTTCCTAAACACACTTCGTTGATGAATATCAAAAATTGAAAATCCATGAAATACCATTTGAATGTCTTTCCAAAAAGGTATCAGTCAACTCCCAGTCAGCGGGTCCTATTCGGAAAAATTCAATAAAATTGAATTCGTTATTCCAAAAGAAACTTTCTAAAATAAATTCAAATTAGTATGTACATATTTTTAATTTATATAATGAAAATAATCCTCGATTGGTTAATTTACATACTTACTTAAAATTCCGTCCTTCTTCACAACAACCCTTTTCATCAAAATCAACCTCTCCTTAATACTTGACAGAACCTCCTTCCATGCTAGCCAGACGTTAAATGAGGTCTCGTTTCGAAAAACAAAATAACATAATCCGCTTCTTATTTTCCTCGGAGAAGAAGGTTACGCGCCCGGTTTTAAAAATCGTTTAAAATGTGAATTGAAACGGTCTCCCCTCGTCCTCCCACCCTTCCCTGCCGAGACCGTTGCCTTCAAGCGCATTCAATTTAATTTTGATACCGAGCATTAAAACGGCAAACGAGAATAAAAATATTCCAATACAACACGAGCCGTGTCGCGGAGGGTTGCGCGCCGTCGAGGGGCTGTTGGGGAGACGGGGGGGTGGGTCGATTCCGATCGCTGAATGCTGAGGGAGGCGCGTACAAAACTTTTTGATTGACAGCTTCGTCTGTCCAATCACGAGGCCGGAATTCTGATGAGGAACACGTCAATCATGCAACACTACCCTGTCAAGGATAAATTTTGCTCCCTTGTGGCACCACTACCGCATCACCAGCCGTTTACCAATTCCCACTAAGACCTAGTTACTGAAGCAGTTGAAAAGGACACCATCCTAGAATAATTGCAGCACATGCAACGTTGGATTGAACACAATACTGTTTATGCCTATGGAATACAAATCATCCCCTAAAGGAATTTTATTCGAAATATAGTCAGTTTTGGCAATACGCTAAATAGCTAAGCTTTTATCACCTAAAGAAATTGAAATTCCCATCATGTGCTGCTCAGATTTATTTATATCGAAAACATCAATATGAATCAAATAGTTCATATTCTTTGAAACGTTGTCGCGCCTTGAGTTTCTGTTGTTGAAGAAACTTGAGAAACATTATAGCTAAAGCATTTTGTTTAATATCAGGGAAAATCGCATTGTTTCTTTACAAACGTTTCAATTCTTGACTTGATAAACTGTTCTAAAGTAATTTTCAAGGCAAACCTCCTTAAGAAAAACAGTTATCATCATGAAATTTAATCATTACACTAATTGCTGCCTGGAAGAAATTGCATGTTTTTACAGTTACGAATAATTTTATGTCCATAACGTTCATAAGAAAAGTTCTTCAGTTACTTCCAAGATAATGTATGGATAGCCATCAGTAGAATTTCGTAGAAAATCGTTCAGAGTTGTTTGGTGATGCCGTAGCGCCGCAGATTCCGGCGACGGAAACGAAATCAACCCCTCTCTAGGCCAAATGAGCCCTCGGCATCGCTATCCGTCGACAGATGTGGGATCAACCGGCTCTCTACACTGATTAAGCCAAAGACCTTCGCATCAATCATCGGCAGCCGAAGCAAAAAATTAAAATTTCACGAGATACCCGAGCCATATCTTCTGCGATCGGTTCATAAAGGAATGCATTCAAAAATAATAATCAATTCGGCAACAAAACGAACCAGAGCCAGCCAATATTGGCTGTTATTGCTTAAAAAGTAGGTATTGAATTTCGCGCAGTCTTAAATTTAAACCACGAAGATTTGGATTAATCAGTAGGTAGACGATTGAATGACATTCAAAATTATATTAATAGGTACGTTAGTGGAAACTTTTGGTGAATAAGAGGTGAATTAAACGTATCATTCGAAAAGTACTATTGAATTGGAAATATTTGGATCAATAACTGACATAGGACTTAATCTTTAAGCTGTATGATTTACCTATTACTTTGTTTGTTTCAATTGCTTCTAGACAGTCTTCATACATGAATTATTTTGAACATTAAATGAATGCTTTGCTGGATGCCTGTCTAGAAATGTTTTTGTCGTTCAGGTATCCAACTATTAATATCTCTTCGTCTGTCAAATCTGTCTTAAAAGTAAATGCAAGAAAACAATGGTTTTATTTTCAGTTCACTGTGATGAAAGCCAAGGAAGTCGGCCAAAAAACTTGAACGCGTCTGCTAGAGAACGTGGTTTCCTGTAGACGAGAATAATTCAAATATTCTTTTAAGTATACCAAATTATCTGTAATACGGTAAAGAGATTATAATTTTAGAGTTTTAATACACCGTTAATGGTGGAATGAAATGATTTTTCGGATATGCTTGAAAAAAAAATGTTTTAAAAATAAAATAGGTTATTGTATTACTACAAATTCTACTTTCCTTTTGAATGATATGCATAGTACCATGCATCGGTAGATACCTAGTCATCATCCTAAGGTCATCAGTCCTTAGACTGGTTGGACACGTACCTCCACTCTTTCCTATCCTGAGCTAAACTTCGCATTTCCCTAAAACTAGAACATCCTTAACTATTTGCGAAGAGTAATCTAATCTGGGTCTACCTCTACCCCTCCTAACTCCTGTTTCTGCCTCTAATATGTCTCTGACTAGACCTTCATGCCTGAGAAGGTGTCCTACCAACCTATCTCGCCTATTTTTTATTGACTTCCATAGAGTCCTCTGTTCTCCTATTCTTTCCAATACCTCTTCATTTCTAACCTTAGTACCAAAGTTTTCGAAGTCGGAATTATCAAGACGTACATTTGTTTCAGAAAATGGACTGCCCAGGAGACTAAGAACAGCCTACACAAACACGCAGTTGTTAGAACTGGAAAAGGAATTTCACTTCAACAAGTACTTATGCAGACCTAGAAGAATAGAAATAGCAGCATCTTTAGATTTAACAGAACGACAGGTAAGAAAATTAGTAAAATTTAATTTCCCTAACTAAAGATTACAGCAAATCCATTTGTTTGAAGTGTTTGTAAAGTATTGGAATTAATACGGTTTTATTATAGGTAAAAGTATGGTTTCAAAACCGTCGAATGAAGCACAAGCGTCAAACACTCAGTAAGCAGAACGAAGACGGCGATGACAAAGATTCGGTTAATAGCGACGGAAGTAAGAGCGGTAAATTATCCACAGATAAATTCCTCGTAGATGAGATGTCAAAAAAGAGCTGCCAAGGATGCGAGATGCCTCCAGCAGTCTGCGGTCCCCACGAGGAAGTTTCAGATACGGGATCAACGAGGGGGAACAACAATAATACTCCTAGCGCTACAAACAACAACAGTACTAATAGCAACGGTTCCAACAGTCTAACAAGCTCCAGCTCTTTCGATAAGATTTTAAGCGAAGAGGATTCTCAATCCAACGAAGCATCGTCAACCCATTTACTGCCCAAGGGATCTAGGAAGTCGACTACTCCCAACAGTGTTACAATTAAACAAGAATCTCGAAGAGATTCGCCCACTTCGACGGATAAGCCTGCAACGTGTAAAATTCTCCAGACAACAATTAATAAAAAGGAAACTAGTGTCCATTTGCCCCCCGCAAATGTTGTAACTAGTGGCAGCAAGGTGAATTCTAAAATTATTTCTCCCCCTGCAGAAACAGCGCCTGTTGTGAGTTCTAGCCCTCTAGGGATAGCTCCATTAAACAATCCTCCGTACACTCACATCCAAAGATCATCTCCGACTACAGCTACGGCTATCGCATCTGCAACAGTAACAATCCAAAATATTCCTAACAGTGTGCCACCTTTTGCAGCACGAGGGGCTAATGTTGGCAACTTTCCTAACCATTATCCTACTAATCCCCAAGTTGATTACAGAGTTGACGGAAGGCAATCGAAGCAACCACATTTCCAATACCAAGTAAATCATCACATCTCATACAGTTCTGACATGTACAGTATGGACCAATGTTCAGATGGTCAAGGAAATTATTATAGAAACCAAATGCATCCCACAGGAGCTCCCCCGCATGACAATTGTAAAGATGGAGGTGGTACACGAACTGCGAACAAGGGCAGGCAAATGTACCACTCCTCATACCCCAATCATCACTATTATAATTATAAGAGGCCTGGACAAACTTATCCACAGAATATGAATGATTACAATCATTCCTATCAGTCCGATCAATCTGGATACAACACTTACACCTATCCTACGCCGAGTATGTATCCAGAAGAAACGATGGGTGTCCACGTCAACCATGCTGGTCATGGTAACCATGGTCAAAATTCGCTTGGAAATTATTATGGTAATGAAGGTGTACAGCAAATGCACAAGATTCATCACAACGAGTACCCCAACAAAGTTGGGTACTATGATAACCATTCTTACAATACTCCTCAAAATCCAGAAGCATCCACGTACATTCCATCAGATTCGTATCCGCCAGGGAACTCATCGATGGTAAACGCTGCCATCATGACACCCCCCGGTAGTTCTCAGACTGATTCTAGTGATACTTATAATTCGTTTCATCAATTCTATCCCAACGAAACACAACAAAATCACATCGCTCCATCAGGAGAGAATAGCAATAGTTCTTCGGACTTTAATTTTCTTAGCAATCTTGCAAACGATTTCACACCGGAGTATTACCAAATTTGATTCAGTGCAATATCGGACACGTTCTTGGAATTTTGTTCGTAGATATTTTTATTTAAGTATGTAAATAGATATTGTTGTTTTGGAGCGTTGTTATGTTGATCTTTTTTTTATATAGTGTTCAACCAGTTGTATAATCGCTAACACTTTTAGTTCTAGAGCCTTAAATACTCGATGCATGTAAAGGAACATAAACTACAGTTGTTTATAAGAGACAATCCAATTGTTTTTCTGTTTGTTTATTCATGGAAATAGTATGCACTAGTAAGGGCAAATTAAACTTATGTAATAATCAAATACTTTTTTTTCCTTAAATAACGTCTATTAAAATAAAAAATAAAAGAGTTATTACGATGCGTTTCAGTTTCTATGAAGTGTTTGAGAAATTACCAGTGACATATCCAATTGTTTAAGTTACTATTTATTTTAGTTTCATTTAATACAAAATCTATTGAAAAGAACTGATTATAATGTAAAATATCTTGCAAATTTTAAATCATATTAACAACTTTTAGACATAAAATAAATGTTGCTCAAAAATTTTTTGAAGATTTGAACTGTCAAAATTCGGCACAGTGACAAATGTCATCAACTAGTTCTTACACCAAATTTTACCCAAATTAAAAACTCTTTTTGATCAAAACTATACTGATGGGGTTTAAATTTATTTTATTTAAAAAACCACAGCTTTTAAAGTACTTTNCCCATCAGTTTTTTATGCAATTTTTGTTAAGATTCTGCACTAAACATAGAGAAGTATCATTTTTATGAAATGTATTTTTTAAGAGAATACTCTTGACATACATGAACTATATTTAAGGACAGTCGAGAATATGATACAAATTCATGAGAATATTCTGGAGTTCTTACACCAAATTTTACCCAAATTAAAAACTCTTTTTGATCAAAACTATACTGATGGGGTTTAAATTTATTTTATTTAAAAAACCACAGCTTTTAAAGTACTTTTTTTTCGTGTTTTTATTAAAAACCAAACTAGACTAAATCATTTTTGTAAAAAATATTTTACTGGAGCTTAACTGTCAATTAAGACAAAATCGAATTTGTTTTTTTAAATATTTCTGGGGAAAGAATTCAATATTCGTTTATTTATTATTTAACGGAAAATACTTTTGTTTGGTGGTTCACTTCCCTTTAGGAATTTATATAGCTTTTAAAGTTTGGTAAACATGCTTTCCGAATTTCCATTAGCATTCGTTGATTTTCAACAGAAGCATTTGCTAAACTTATCAAGCGATCAGCTGATGGGACACCGCCGCTGAGGGGTTGTAAGGGGTTTGGGGGTGGCGGTTGATCGGCCAGGGGTGATGGTGCGATGACTCACTCGACGCGTTGGGTAATTCATCACTGTCAGACACCTTCTTTCCAATATAGCCTTCTATGATTTTCAGTATGTATATTTCCTATTTGCTCAATGAACTCGCCAATTTGAGAATTGCATATCTCTTCATTTCACCCCCGTAACTTACCCCTTCCGTTCCATTAAGTTCATGGGTAATAATTATTATGGCCGAAATTCGACTACTACTGAACAATAGTTTTATTGTTAAAAGAGTAAGTACAAATAGACTTCAAAAAACCTTAAATTAAAATTAATAATTATTATTCTGTATTAGTCAATACAAAATAATGTTATTCTTTTGAAAGTATACTTGAGAGTGGTAGCAGAGGAAACAAATTTACCCCTTTTTTTCAGACAATTCTTCTTAATATTAACTAAATTTTATTCACAATCTTATATTTTTGACAATAAGGATATACAAACAACAAATATTCTTTAACTTACAAACTTAAAAACAAAAATTCAAAACATTTCCTTTCTAGTTTTTATGATTTAATCCTCCACCCTATAATTCTTTCCCTTCCTTTTTTAAGATTTCTTTAAAAACACCTAATTTATCTCCCTTTACACGTATCATCTCACTCCATCTATTCAATATTTTATTCTCCATACCTTCTTCCAATACATGCCTCAAGTTTTCTATTTCAGTTCCACAAATCCTACATTTTCTCTCCTCCTCTTTCAAGCGGTAGGTATTTATTCCCATTACATTCATTCCCCATTTTAAATCTTGCTATTATCTCTATATCCTTCTTCTTAATTAAGTGTTCAGGTATTATGTCATTTTACCAATCTTCCTCCATCCATTGCATATTTTGAACATTGAACTTTTCTCAAATCTTATCCTCTTTTCATTTATCTTTGTCTATTCTTTATCATATTACTTATATTCAATCCCTTGTTTTCGCATTCAATTAGTTGTTCCATGCTGATTCTCATTTCCTTTAGAGCCTTATTGCTTAACCTCATCATACCTATCCCAAAATTTTTTTGGTCATAACTCTTTCTTTATATTATTGTCTTTTAATTTTTCCAGCTTTTCCTCATATTTGATCAAGCTTCTGCTTGCTTCTACTATCATTTCTTGACATTTCTCCTTATTATATAGTCTGGTGGGCGTCTTTCTAAAGGTAAGACCCATTTTATATATCTTTTATACATTATTTCTATCTGTTCATATTTTTTCCAACCCCATACCTTATATTATTATATATTTACCTATTCACCTACTGTATTTTTGAATATAAATTTACCTCTTTTACTGCATATTTCCGCCATCTAGAGATCGGTAGTTCCACTACACTTCCCTTCGACAAAGTGAGTTGCAGTGAAACAGTTATCTTCAACTATTCAAATAGTTTACGGCATTCTATAACGAAAGGTAGTAATCTTATAATACAATTAAAGGTAGCTTCTTGTCTACTACTTTACGGCTTCCTATAATAAGAGATAGTCATCTTACAATCAACTAAAAGTAACTTACATCTAGTTTTAAGTGTAACAACATTTATAATCTACTCATATTCACTAACATGCTTCTATAAATCTACAAAATTTGACTTCTGTATGAGAATTGGTTTTTGTGAGCACAATTGAGGTTTGCGCTTCTATCTAACAGATGCCGCATAATACCTATTTTCTTAATAATTTATAAATATTTGCTGTTTTTTATCATTTTGTTTGCAACTATTTTTTACTATGAACTGTAATTATCTTTTTTTTTAATATTACCTCCTCCATCAATGATATCTTTTAAGAAAACAATAATAAATACATAAAATACTTCTTTTTCAAAATTGAAAAGAAATACAGAAGCATCAAAAAGTGTATCCCTAAAAACTAAAGCTGACCAATTAGTAATGGATCAAGAAAAGTTTTTATTATTGAAAAAGTTTTTATTGTGAATAAAAGAAACAAGAAAACGATATTATGACAGAATTTGAATCGAAACGTCATTTCCGGTACATGGTAATTTTTCAGTTTTAAACAACATTTAGTAGAGAAACAAAAGTTAACTAATTCTAAATTCTAAGGCAAAGGGGAAGTTCCTTTAAATTTACATTACCTACAATTATTGAAGAATTCGGTTTTTATAATCTACGAATAAGAAACGAAGACTTTTTGTTTTTATTGCAGTGGTATTTTGTTGTAAATTTAAAAGAGAATAACAATCGCTTGGTATTTTTAAAGGCTCCACCATTCACGTTAAATTTTCATTCTTCCATGAATAGAATGGAATTAGAAAAGATGAAAACGTGGACATACTAAAATTACTCCCTACAAGTACGACTTAGACTTGCGATTCAATAAAGCTAATAATGACATAGACATGTCGGGAGCTGGGGGCAACTGGCGCGTAGGGTGGGTGGTGAAGTAGCCGACTCTGACATGCCATGATGGATCGACTTGGGGTAACCGCTTACTTGCTAAAAACCTTTTCTTTTAGACTGAGATCCGGCCATACATGCGCTCGCTGGGAAAAAAATCGACGACGATAACGGCGTATTTCAGTCCAGCCGACAACAAGAAAGAAGTTTAATCGTGTCTTTATTTCTTCTACCGTATGAGTAAAATTTACGAAAATAAGTTTCAGTAGTTGGCCGGAAATCACAATATATTGATACAATTAGGATACGAATACTCTAAATTATTTCTTCAGCAGTCTTTTATTTAATGTTTTGAACATAACAGAATTTTCTCGAGGGATTTGTGAATCACCTGCATTTTTATGTAGGTAGTTTTACATTCTGGTTCTATTCCCTCACTCTCTTTAAAATTGCACTTTATTTAGTGAAACAATAACTACATAAAAAGTTTTTAAGCCTATTGAGTTTCAGCTTTTACGTAATTTGTATCTCATCTCTTTTTGGGAATGATATTTATATTAACAAATAGAGAGACGGATGTCTCCCGCCTTACATAAATATATATTGTGTAATTATAACTCATAGGTATTCAAGAAATTTTTGTCACATCACTGCTACCTTCTTCGTAGATCAAATGTTTCAAGATTTGTATTTCTTGCAAATTTGCCTAAATTACCCAAAATTTTACTTTTTTTCAATTTGGACAAAGGTAATGAATTCCTTCTAGAGAATCCATCATCATAAATACTTTCACCTTTTACCTAAGAAAAACGCCTGCGCTAGGCATCCAAACTTTAATTTCTTTTTAATCATTCCTTCATCAGTATTACGATTACCTTCACCTTACAAAAATAATGGATTCTAGTCAAATATTTTAACTTACCTACACAGTTTTTCCTTCCAGAATTATTCCTGCGCTGCCATACATTTCCCATTAATTTTCTTCTTCCTCATCTGCTCATATGTATCTTGACTACCTTCCCCTTATCGACGATTTTCTTTACAAAATTAATGAATTCTTGTTAGATATTCGATCTCATACAGTTTTTTCTTTTACAATTATTCCTGCGCTATCATACATTTCACATAAATTTTCACTTTCCTCATCCCCTCATATGTAGCATGACTACCTTCGTCTTACCAATAATTTTCTGTACAAGAATAATCGTTTCTGTCAGAGAATCCATTTTAAACATATTTCCCATATTTCCCCATTATCCCTCTTTCTTCATCCCCTCACCTGCATCATAACCATCTTCACCTTACCAATGAGTTTAGAGAGAGCGACTATTTCTAGTAATGCTGTTTATCATTTATTGCGCCGAAGATCATTACATTTTGAATAACAATAAATTTAAGAGAAATGTACATATAACATCCAGGACTTCGTTTCCTAAAACTTTCCATGCATTTTCCATGCATTCATTTATCATTTTTTAAGTGGAGACACACAGATCAAAACAAACAATTCTTAGTCTCACATTTTTAGGAATAATTAATATTAAATAACAGAATTCTTCAGATAATGGTACATTTAGTGCATTTATATGTGAGATATTTTTCTCATTT